TTTCCATAAAAAAATGCGTCTATGAGCCGGCAAATCAGTTCACACTTTAGTAAGCAAATTCATGTAAAAGACCATAAACAATAAACAACCTAAAAAATGTGTTGTAAAATAAAGAAAATACAACTTTCATTGTATTAGGCGAATGAAAATAGAAAAATATTGTAAAAATTAATTGACGAAAAATCTAAACAGTTTGCCGTCCACGAAACATAAAATATTGATATTACGTAAATTTCAGTGAGAAAAATCAACTAAATGCTACTCACGGAAAGTTGATACGACTTTGGAATTTCCTACAATTTTGACCTAAAAATTCCTTTGCATTCGACCGGAATTAACGAAGATTTAAATATAAAGCTTATTAAACCCAAAATTTTAGCAACAACATTTTAATTCAGCACACAATTTGCTATGCAGAGTTCAAAAGAACTGTAGCTTTTCATATCGGTTATAAATTCAAAGTGTCTTCATTTCTCTGAGATTTATAAATATCGAGATTTATAATATCGAGAAGATAAATATCGCTTTGTCAACTCTTTGGAAAATCTTGTGGGAATGTTTGTATTTATTTACTGGAAAGAATTTTGGTTTTGAGGTCAATGTTCGAATAAAATAATGCTCTAATTTCAATTACACGCCAATCGAAAGCTTTCGCAGGCCTTTTAATTACTCAACTCTGGTAAATCTATGCCGGTTTCATAGCTAAGTGGCATTAATAAAGCTGATACTCAGATTAACCCGAGATATTTAAAACTAACAAAACATGAAGGTTGCCTGGGCGCGGTTCTTAATGTTTTATTATTGGCATTTTATACCATAGTGTAACAATATCGCTTGTCAAGGCCGAAACTTTCAGGAAATGTTACCCAAGATGTTAAGGTGGTTGGAGCAGGTATTTCTGTCTTTAGCTTGCAGAAAGACAGTAATTAGTTGCAGAAGACCTAGAAAACCAACGCTTGGCGAAGAAAATCTCTAATCTAACACAGTCCAATGATTATTTTAATCATCGCAACCATGTGGTTGATTGGAAGAAAGCTGATTTATTAGTTCATGATTCTGAATATGATATCATGCTAAGCATCAATTTTCACTGCATGCTCATACGTATTTCAAGGTTTCTAATCAGTAGAAATCTTCAATAGTGGCTCCACATTTTCCACTTGAGCGAATGCCAAGCACTATCAGCTGGAAAGAGACTGCAATTGGAAAAGTGATCATCTGTTTTAAATTTGCTATAAAAACGATTTTTGTTCCATTCTTTCTCATTAATCACAACTTGCAAATTTTTTCATTTCATTACCGGCAAAATATTATCAATTTTACATTAGCCACACTTTCCCATTAAGCAAAAAAAGAGACTGCATACAAAAGTCGAGTTTTATCATGTTATGTCCTAATAACACTTTCTACTATGTAGTGCTTTGCATACAAAACCAAAGTGTCTGCGTTTTTAGTTAATAACCAAGTGAAAGTGCCGATTTAAAGCCGTGTGAGTTTCATATTAAGTGAATTTCAATGGTCTTTGGTTTAATTCCGCGTTTTTCCTGTAGACTCTTTCTGTGCATCAATAAGGATTATTTCTGAATGAAACCAGCAAACGTTTGAAGCAGAAAAATTTTCAAACATCCACTGGCCCCATTTCGGTCACCCATATTGCATTTAACGGTCTGCCAGTTCAAGCTAGCATGCAATTTTTTTCAAAACACGACATCCAACACTGACAACTTTCCTTTAACGTTGTTCCATTGATAATTTATGAAAATAGACCAGGTCAATGTTGCTGTAATAGGCGTTTTATTTGTTTCAGATGTACGATGTGGTCATCCGCCTATACCGTTGAATGCAAAATTAACGCTAAGCTCCTCCAGCTTAGTACCAGGTACCACTGCAAGCTACAGATGTGATGAAGGGTACGAAACTTTTGGAAACTCGCAGATTTCCTGCTCGTCTTCCGGTCAATGGGCAGGAGAAATGCCCTTTTGCGGTTAGTAACTTACAAAATCTAGATAAACTAGTGTTACATTTGAATGTTTGTCGAAAGCTCGAAAGCAGATAGATAAAACGTGTATAAAATTCCCGTGTCCAACGTGTCCCATTAGTATAAAATAGCTTAGATATACTTAAATGAAAATCCCCATTTTTTCACAAAAGCGCTACGGCCATCAACTTTGGTATTTTAAATAGCACACACAAATATCCTCTTCATTTCTGTATTCTGAATTCAATTCGAAAGAATTTGATTTCTCATTCTTGCAAAAAGTGCCACTTGTAAAATACATTTTGAAAATTAATTTCTCAGAAACCTTGAGAGATAGCAACCTGTTTCCTTCGTCCCAAAGTAGAGGAAGAAATGGGCCTTCTTTTCCTTACACTCAAGTTTCATTAGCTGCTCAGGTGTATTTTCTGTACATTATGAAAGTTCAAATATTTAAATTGAACTAGAACTAGCTTTATTAATGAAAATATTTTCTGGCATCTTATTCTGCAGTTTTTTTTATATCAATATGTTCTATACCCATATGACACACACATATTGATGCAATAAAGATGAATTGCGTAAAATTAATCAATCAATTGATATAAATAGACTTATATCAATCTCAACATTTTTGTGTGACAAAAATAAAATGATATGCTTCAAAATTAGTAGAGATGATGTGTATTTTAGGCAAACGCGAGAGAAATCCGAAAACCCACAGAAACTATCCACCCATAATTATTCTATGGTGTTTTCTAACAGAAAGTTAAAATAAGTTTTCCAATAAAGCAAAAAAGCTTCAGCTGATATCGCCTTTTAAGCTTATTAGAGTTCCGCTAAAGTACAAAATTTTTATAAAATACATAGTTTAGAACTATACACTTAATTACAGCGCATTATTCTAACACGTTTTTAATATTTTTATCGTGGTCGCATTAAAACACTTATAAAAACATTAAGTCAAAAGCAATCTTGAAATTTTTTAATTGTTTTTTGCTATTTTGCCAGCTAAAAACTAAAATGTGTTCTACAATCTTGTCAACAGGATTTCCATAGAGATCAAAATTTTCAAATTTGATCAATAAACCCAGTGAGTAAATTTGATTTTTGTAGAACTACATGATGATCAAAATAAAAGCTAAGAGGGCATTAACTTTGCAAAAAGTTAAAAATTTTAAATCTACTGGAAAATTGATGGTTTTGGTAATGAATTCTAATAGAGTGAAACTCGTATTTATACTGCAAAACTTGATTTTTTGGAAAATATACAGCGTGAAGGTTTGAAGTAGAAACTGCATTTTTAAAATAATCACCTTCTGTTCTAGATATTTACTAGCTTAAAGAAGAATAATTTCCTTTAAACGTGAGCATTGATGTCTTACCTGTACAGCATTCGATAACAATTAGCTATTAAAAATACATTAAAATCTAGTTAATTTTAATGGCCGATGGCACCAACGATATAACAAATTTAAACGTTTTCTCCCTTTTGTGTGTGTGTGTAAATATTATATTGAATATTCGGCCATTTACTGCCAACTCAGGAAATCTTATAATTGTAAATATTACACAACCGCGGTGGGCATAAAAATGCAAAATTATAGCTACTGCATTATTTAATAGACCAAGCTCTTATTGAGCTTTCTGCATAATTTAATAATTGCATAACAGTTTAGTACTTTGACACCAAAAAATCAGCTGTAGAATAAATAACAGAGAAAGAAGTGAAAAACTGGGTTTAAATCAATTCTCACAACAGTTTCTACGTGAGACTTAAACGATTAACGCTTCTAAAACTAGCAAAGAAAATAAAAACCCTTTATGATCAAATCCGCTGAGAATTCAAGATCTAAAGGAACAATGATGTTATCTCAGCCTAACATATAATTATAATTTATATCGTTTTTATAACATACAATCACCACACGGTATGGTGTAGACAATACGGCAATTCATGGTCACAGATCTTTTTCACTTAACTTTCAGGGTCTTCAATCAATTTTTACAGCTTAAGGTTAGGGAAGTTTCATTTACTAAAGCAGCTAAACGTATTATTGTAGTAATATGGGATTTTTAACGTCCTTGAAGGTATCGCATGGTTCACGAATATTTTCTATTCAAATCTGATTCTTTTTCAATCGCCTATTAATGATTTATTGTTATGGGAATCATCGATATGTTGAAGTGTGTTTAATCAAGGGCCTGAGCAAGATTGGTGTAGATTTGAATAGATTAGTCAAGACAGATTTTGGCCAAAGTTGAAGACATTATTTCTGTATGTTTAGAACCAAAAAAGAATCAGATCGGTATACAGTAAAAATCCTTCCAAGATGAAATGAGTTGAATTATGTGTTGGATGATCCAACTAACAGACTCATGTTAAGTTTGTTGCTTCTCAAATGTAATGTTTTAACTTAACAGCCAATGTAAACACTCAAAGATTTCTTAGACTCGAAAAAACATCTTTATAAGCCGGAATAGGTTTGTACTTAGGCTAAAAAGCTCGTTTACATTTCACATTTAAGGCATTTTTGTATAACACATTTGAACTTTAAAAAGCTCGTATTTATTCTTTTCTAGGTAATTATTGGGAAAAGTTCAGTTTTTACAGTTCTTTTCCTTAATTCTACTTAGACTTAGGAGTTTGTTTGAACTAAAATGCACAATTGCAGTTTTAGTAAAAGTGCGAAATTGGAAAAAGATTATTAAATTTCAAAACTTAACAATAATTTTTCAAAATTGACAATTTTTTTTTAACTTAACTGACTGAATATTTTCCCAGTGTTTTGAGCAATGCAAATATTAAAAGGAGTGAAAATTCCGAACCGATCGGAACGTCGTTACTATTTTTTAAACATATTTTTAAGGCGTTGAATGATTTACCACTATTTGCTCAATCCCAATAAATAGTTTACTAAAAACCAACGATCCTTCAAAGGATTTTAAAAGCATTTTTTTTTGCTTTTTCTAATCTAACAACCCGTGTTAAACTTATGACGAAACAATGTCCTACGAATACACTTTCTTTCACTGTTTGAATTTTACGTATTATATAAAAAATCAAGTGAATCTAATTGACAATTAATAGCTGATCTCTGATATAAAATACACTTTAAAAAATAAAAAGAAAATTATTAGTATGAAAGATAAATTTGCGCACTAAAAAATATTTTATTCCAATCCTACTGACTGCTCGATATTTTGGAAATAATACGAGATACATTAATCCTTGTTATTACAATTTTATTATAGTGTTTGTAAAAATATCGATAAATAAATAAATATATTGTGACCCTCGTAACTGATTAATGAAAAACTTTTTTATTCATTTAAATCCTTTTTGAATTATTTTGTTGCTTTTTTTATATTACATAAGTTGCAAATGTTATCAAAGAATTCGAAATGTTCGAAATAACATTCTTATTGGTGTCTTGGATATTTTTTGTTAGTGCTTTGGAATAAATATTGTTCTTAATGCGTAAAGTTGGTTTAGATGCAAATAAGTAAAACAGACAAAAATAATCAAAATTTTACAACATTTCGCACTTGCTGGGAACCTTTCCTATGCATTCGAAGTATTTTTATATGGGTTTTCAAGTGTTTTTTTTTTAGTTTTCTTTAACTAGCGACTGTCATCAACCGACTGACCACGTTCGAAATAGCATTTCTATTGAGGCCTTGAATTTTTCGCAAGGTTCTAATTGCATATTGACTGTTCTTTAGTAATTTTCATACATTTTAGGGATTGTGAAACATTTTTACGGTGTGAACCAGCTTTTTGGTGACAAACTTTGAATTCATAAAAAAATCCTTACAAATGTATTTTCTACATTGATTTGCTTTCCAGATATAATAAATGTCACAAAATTTTGCAACTCCATTTTTGGTTATGTGTTATTTGCGGCTAAATTGAAACATTTTTTACACCACAATGGCTATATCGTCCGCATATCGCAACACGTAAAAAAGCCCCTTCTCGAGAGACACCAGGAGCTCGTCGACTTATATTTACATTCTGAATATATACAAATCTATTTGCAATTTTGGGCAAATCTATTTTTTCTTTCAATAACATCCAGTTTCAGAACTCATGAATAAATCAATAATTGAAGACACTAACAGTTATAGAAAGTGTATGATATGAGAACCAGTCATTTGAATGCACAACTCGTACTGACTTACAATACTGCGATTAAAATAGTAATAAACTTCTTCATTGCGTATATGCATACACAATTAAAGTGTTAATTATTACTTACATTTTTAAGTATTTTGTTTGTGCAAGCATATCTTTAGCTGTTTATCGAAAATAAGGCACTTTAGAAGATGTATTGATAGACCAACTCTTCAAGTTTGCTATACAAAACCTGGTCCAATCTGCATTTTAACGAGCTTTGAAATAATGAGAAGATTAAACTCCACCTATTTTCAGGCGTCTTTCAACTATAACTTTCAAATATAATCCAAATTAGATAAAACTTTTTTAAAACCCAGTAAATTATTCTGCTTCTGCTAATATCAACATTTATAATTTCATTAAAACTGTGCATGTTATTTCCTCAGGTGTAAACATTGCTTATCGAAAACCTGCAAATCAATCGACAACAGTAAGAGGCGGAACCGCCCTTAATGCGAACGATGGTGAAACCAGCAGCGATCACGAAACGAAAAAATGCTCAGAAACTCAGAAAGAGGCGAGCCCCTGGTGGCAGGTGGATTTGCTCAGACCATACGCAGTCAAAGTGGTGAGAGTGACCACCAGGGGCTGCTGCGGCCATCAGCCCCTACAAGATCTGGAAATCAGAGTGGGAAATAGCAGTACCGACCTGCAAAGAAACCCTTTATGTGCGTGGTTTCCTGGAACAATAGGTGAGGACTGATTGCAAATTTAGGCTAATTTTTTTAAACTTTTTTTTTAACTGTACAAATTTAGATGAAGGATCAACGAAAACCTTCACCTGTGCCCGACCGCTTATCGGAGAATATGTCTTCCTCCAGTTGGTTGGAGTGGAAGGATCTTTATCCCTCTGTGAAGTTGAAGTATTCACACCTGATGGTAGGTACATCAAAATGTTTTATCAACCGCTTAACAGTTTATTGACCATCAAAATCTCACCGGTAGCAATTAAATAAATTTTCATCTTCGATGGGCGCTCGTTTCGTAATCGGACTCACTTTCACTGGCATAATCGCTATTTGAGCGCTTATAACAAGGGTGTTTAACGCTTTTTGCTTAACATCTTGTAATCTGTTTAAGTAACTACTCGAGTTCATTGTTGAACTTTTTCCGCCATTCAATGTTTTTACACGGAGCGATTATTTAAACAAAATGCATTCGATTTGCCGATGTAATCCGCGAATTTTGTCTGTATTATTTTATTAAATCAGCGATTATTAATTGAGGGGATTTGAAAAAAACGCCTAAAATAGACAGTTTCACTTAGCTAATTTCGTGTTCATTCCCGTTGAAAAAGCGAGCTTGGATTGCGCAAGGCCCGCCTAATTACCAAACTATTATTCTCGTCTGTAATTATTATAATTCGTTCATTAAATGTTAATAATCTTTGTATTTATGCACAAATGTATATCATGAAGCGTTCAGGGTTATCTGCGATGATCTGTCGGTGTAACAAACGCTTATTCCATGACTCTTATGCAAATTATTTGAAAAAATATATATTAAATGGCTAGATTTGATGACAATCTTCTGATGCATGTGACCGAGGATGCAAGGTTTTAACATAAAATTAACAAATGGTTATATTTAGGATCCGAAACCTCTAATAGTTGGCCATTTAATAGCATTTTCGCGGCACTCCCGATCGTAAAACCATTACGGAAGCTCGGTCTGAACTTGAACGCAAGCACTGAATGCAAACTGTCGCTTTCGAAACCATACTTTCCATTATACGTTATTAGCCAATTACGGAATTCCTATTCTACACTTCCACGATATACAGGTTGGCTAAAATCACATTGATTCCAGCTTAGTAATGGATGATTTTAGAAGACCATTGAAGGAGCATAAAAATTGTATATTGTCATGTTTGTTAAGTACCGGTATTTCTGTAAGTCCGAAAAATGAGCTTTTGAAAACTTTGCATACTTTTCCTAAAAAAGAACTTTTAACTGTCGCTTCTGTTTATTGCTTTTGCGCAAAATTGTAGAAGTAAGTGAATAACAAACGGTTTTTTACAGAATTTTCGGTAGACAGATGTGCACCGAAAGACTCACCTGAAGAAGCGCAACTTGCAGCTTTTGCCCGCACCTGTTATGAATTTGGGGTCTCTAGGGGTGGATCGTTTCAGGAAGCTCGAGCTTACTGCCAAGGTTAGTACAAAGAGAAATTGTCAATGGGTTACTAATTGTTGACGCTAAAGGTGTAATATAAAAAATTTAGTTCTATTCTTTAATTCGCACAGTTTCTGTATGTTTTACATTTGCAGAAAGCTCAACAGAAAACGAAGGTGATCGTTATCGACTGCCCAAGTTGAAAATTCTCACTTTTAAAATTCTAAAGGCCTGTGGGAAAAAAATCAGTTTTGGAGCATTCAAGTCTGAATGCTTTTGTCAAATTTTGACAAAACGAAATTTCTATTAGGACTTTCTTTGATTTACTTTCCACTAGTTAAATTTGCAAAAAAACACAAGAAAAATTAGATTAGATTAATTAGCATTATAAACTGTGTACCTACTTCTTTCCTCATCATATCAAGGTAAGTAATAAATCTTATTCGTGAATTTTACGTTTTAATTGTTTTATCGCGATTTCTTTCTATCTGCCCATTTCGAAAAATATAATTTACTCAAACCTTTTTCTATGTTTGCCTATGTCTTTAATTGCTTGCTTAGATTTAATATTTGCATGATTTTACTTTTCAAT